AGAGAGAGAGAGAGAAATACCTTCCTCTATAGCTACAGATCTGTCCTTTCAGGGCACAGCATGCCAAAAGTCAGTAGAACCAACACCAGCAGCAGGTTTATACTAGGGACATACTCACCTGCTTCTGGATCTGCAGGAATTCTCCACATGTACAGGTTGAAGTCATCAGAGCCTGAAAGGATATACTGTTGGGACAAAAAAAGTATTTATATATATCAATTGACTGATAATCTATAATAATAAAAGTGTAATATGATAATTAGACCAGACGTCCTTCTGGATGAAGTGGTGGTGGGTGGGGGCCGAGGCAGAGGCCCGCAGCTGCTGCAGCAGGCGGGGGCCGTGGTGGTGGGGGCCAAACCCCTTGCACGAATTTCATGCATCAGGCCTCTAGTATATATCTATATTTATCTTCCTAAATACAGAAAGATTCTTTGAAAATAAACAAAACAAATGAAGATATATTCAAAAGATGTCACACAGCAAACACCCTCTTAAAAGTATTTGCAAATCAAAAGGCTCTTTGGCTAAAACTCAGCAACAACCAACCAACCTGATTCAAAATGGGCAACGGTCTTGACCAGACATTTCTACAATGAAAAATATACAAATGGACAATAAACACATGATCACTAATCATTAGGGAAATAAATATCAATACCACAATGAGATTCCGCTTCACACACATTAGGATGGCTATTACCAAAAAATAAACAACAGAAAACAAATGTTGGCGAGGATGTAGAGAAATTGAAACCCTTGTGCACTGCTGGTAGAAACATATAATGGTGCACCTACTGTGGAACATAGTATGGCAGTTCCTCAAAAAGTTAAACATATAACTATCATATGACCCAGCAATTTCACTCCTAGGTGTGTGTGTGTGTGTGTGTGTGTGTGTGTGTGTGTGTGTGTGTGTAAATGAAAGCAGAGACCTGAGATATCTGTACACCAATGTTCACAGAAGAATGCTTACAATAGCCAAAAAGTGGAAACAACCCAAATGTCCATCAACGGATGAATGGATAGATAAAAATGTGATATATACCTACAATGGTATATTATTCAACCTCAAAAAAGGAGATAAATTCTGACACATACTACAACATGGATGAATCTTGAAGACATGCTAAAGAAGCCACACAGAAAAGCAAATATTGTATGATTCAATTTATACGAGGTACCTAGTTAAATTCAGAGACAGAAAGAATGGTAGTTGCCAAGGGAGGAATGGGAAGCTACGTTTAATGGGTATGGACTTTAAGTTTGGAAAGAAGAAAAAATACTGAGATGGATAGTGTACAGTTCTGTGGCATTAAGTGCATTTACATGTGCACTTAATGCCACAGAACTGTACACTCAAAATGGTTATAATGGTAAGTCTTATGTTATGTATATTTTACCACAATTTTAAAAATGTTTAAATGCAGAAAAAAATTTAGAAGCTTTTATGCAAGGCCAAGATCCTGAACT